AGACTCTCAGCAACTACCAYATCAAATTTGAGCTTAATAGATAAGAACTTCCTCCATTATATTTGTTTTAGTGTTTTATAGGTCAGCTGTGGCAGCCATTATAAACTGGGCTGGCTTAAAAATGAATGAGTTGCAGTTTCACATCTAATGATGACTCATTCAAATCCCTCCAGTGGTTCATGAGAATTTTTGCTAACAGACACATCAACACGGGCACAACAACATATCTGTCAACCTTCGCTGTTCGGCAGAGGGCCATAATTATCCTCAAATTAATCATGCGTCTTCTGCAGCCTTCTTCATCCCTGAGCACATTATATAAAGAAACACGTGCGCTCCCGAAAACAACAACAACAACAAAAACAACAAAACATCTGCTGCACAAGCGCCCTCAACCCTGCTGCTTCTTCAGGGAAGGACTTGACATCAAATATCATTTCACCCCTGGGGGCCGCAGGCTCCCATTGTGCACGCTGCCATTAACAGCACACGCAGGACGCGGCGGAGGCGGGCGGGCGGGGAGCGTTTGGGACAGCTGTTTATAACGCACCGCTGGGAGGAAGACGAGGAGGCCGCTCTGTTTTGATGCAGCTCCTACAGGCGTGACTAATAAAACGCAGACTGAAAGCAGGACGGAGGGGTTACGTGAGCCGCAGATCAGAGAGGAGGAGGACTCCAGCTGGAGGAAGTCAAACTAATTGGACAAAAACAAAGCCCCCCCCCCCCCCCCCTTCCATTTGCCTGTACAGAGCCTGTTGACAGATGGCGAATCAGTGTGTGTGTTCCACCTTTTTTTCTCTTTTAGACCGAGGCATGCTGAGTAAGGTCGCCCCGTCTCTTTCCTCCCCCGTGTCATCTTCCACATCATCCTTCTGCCTCTTCCCCTCTGATCCGAGCCGCATTTAGCCAAGAAGTTTGTGTTGTTGTCTCTGATCCATTATTGGAGGGGCGATGATGACCGGAGCTAACGGGCCAAGTTTGGGTGAGGCTGAGTCACAGGCAGACGGGAACAATATGGCTCGAGTGTGTGACTCTTTATTAAACGTGACACTCGATATGATACGCTTGTCTGAGCAAGGATCAGTCACAAACTGCTACAGACAATTTACAGGGATGGTTTGCGTTAGATATTCATTACAGCATTCAACACCCACATAAATAGCTAATATGTGCTTCTGCCTAATGACTAAGTTATCTCCAGGGAGGCGGCAGAAGAAGAGACGGCTCGAATCGATGGGGGATTTGGGTAAATCTAAGTTGATCATCGAGGAGCGGATTGGGACCATAAGAAAACAAGACGGCTAACAGGATCCTATTATGACTTGGAGATGATTGTGCTCGGAGAAATGCCTTAAAAAAAGAGGGTGCAACAGTTGATTTCACCGTGTACTTTTTTCCACATGAATTCCTGCCTACTCACAGGGCTCACTGCTTCCAGAACAAAAGCCGGCTCTTTCAGAGTGTGCGTGGTTAAAGTAAAAAGGCAAGGACAGATGCTCCTGCTGCTCACCAAAGCTGCGCTCGCTGCTATTTGCCGTTAGAAGTTTACATACACTAACCATAGGCGTGAATGTCAACATAGTTTGGGACTTTTAAAGATTTATTCTGAGGGTTCTTTTCTTTTTAGAGTGGAATGATTACAGAGTACAACTTTGACGATTTTACAAAAACAAGGACTGTGTGCACAGGTTTGACCTTGCTGTGAATTGTTTGTTTTCTAATCAACACAGGTTCCACATTTTACATACAGGCTCTGATAAAGCTATGTTTATATCAGGTATACCAATGCACCTCTAAGATTTAAATGGCTCTTAGACAGTTGCACCTCAAACACATATTTTCAATCAATTTCAACAGACTTTGTCTGGGCTTTAGGAAGGCCATTCCAGGAGCTCAGGGTCTGATCTACTAAGATCCCAAATAACGAGCCTTAAATTGCATCTACAAACTAAAAATCTGAGTGGGTGTGTTGCAGGTGATCTACTAYGATTGTAGCGCAAATAACAGGTGCAAAAATGGTGTGGACCGTCCTGCTGAAATGAGGATTTTGCGTGAGCTGGGGGTGGGGTGTACGGTGTGCAGCGCTGTGTCTTCTGAATAAATGAAAATGATTTAACACAGTTGTTTATACTTTTAGCAGTTCTTTTTATTCCACAGCTGACCTGCTAAAAATGACAGATTTTCTTTTCTGGATCTCTGACAGACGGACTTCAATCT